TCGCCCTCAAAACTGTTCTCTTTCCACTCACCATTATACTCTCCACCGTCTTTCCACTTGAGACTACCTTTGCCATTCCTCTTACTATTCATCCATTCTCCGTCATAGACATTTCCGTTAGCATATGTACGAATGCCTTTTCCATGCAGGCATCCCTTCTGGAACTGACCAGTATAAGTCGAACCATCCATCCATGTATAGGTTCCCGTCCCAGTTCGTTCACCAGCTATAAAGTCTCCTATGTATTTATTACCGTCAGCCCATAGAAATGTACCTTTGCCAGTTCTCTGATCATCTTTCCAGTCTCCATCATAAACGTTTCCGTCTGACCATAAGTGTTTTCCCCGCCCATGCTTTTTACCATTGATCCACTGGCCAATATATTTGTTTCCTGATGGCCATGTTCTAGTTCCTCTACCGTGGAAGCTATTGTTTTTCCATGTACCACTGTATTCACCATCCGAGACCCATTTGTAGGTGCCCACCCCATCCAACCGACCATCGACTATAGATCCATTATACACATCTCCATTTGAGAATTTTACTATTGAAGTTGAGCCGGTTGGGACTTTCCTTGTAGATGAACTTGAAACTGCAGGTTTCAATGCACTGTCGTTGATTTGCGGTAGAAAAGAAGTAGAGGGAGTAGATTGCTTAACGGCTGAATTGTTGTCAAGCATATTCGATTGATTAGAAAACATGTGCTGGTAGTCGGTTGATGCGTTTTTGGTGGGCTTCTTAAGATCTATTTTGCTTACGATGGCCGGTGGTAGTTTGATGATGTCTTCGTAACGTGTTATCTCTTGCAAATGAATAACATGAAGACCATTTATTTCCAATGGATCCGCAACAACTTGTACTCGTGTACCAGGCAACAAAATAAGCTCTTCTTCACTCGAATAGCTCGAATGCTTTTTAATAGATCTAGCGCTCTCACAGTTTATCATCAGTAAGGTGTTCTGTCCGCTTTCTTCCATAAAGTTCTCTGCAACTTTTATATTCGTTGTGCACGATGTCACTCGCCACCATATGAATATTTTACCTTTTGAGAATTCATTGGTTTCATCTTTTGTAATATCTTTGTTGATACCTCGCCAGATTTGTGCTTTTTGTGCTGGTAGTTTTGTCACAGCGACATGAAAAAGTTTCAGATAAGGAAACCACGGTGTCAGCTTTTTTCGCGTTTCATGTTGAATAGTTTCGTTTAGTATTCTGTAAAGACCAATGCTCTCCATCGTGTATAAATAGATGCAAGCCGATTCATCAGATGTTAATTTTTCAGACGGATTCGAGCACTGTTCTTTAGCAAGTTGAACGTAAATGTTTATACTTGGGATTTTACCAGCGATCGACTCTACGGCTTTTTCCAAAGGTACCAGAGGAACATTTAAATAACCATCAATAGTAGGCAAATTAAATGTTGCATTCAATTCCTCAATGTACAGATGAGACACCATAATCGATAACAATGAATGTTTCTAATTACACTCTAAAAATATGGGTATTTGTTACTATCGGAAACATTTTTAGGGTTTCCAAGCGATTCGCAAACATTTCTTGTGATTTTTCGAGTTCTTCGGAGGCTCTACAAGAGTTTCTGATCGTAACAAATATTCACTTTTTTGAGAGTGTAGAACAGCTTTTTCAAAGGTCTCAATATTTTATCTTTTAAAAAAAGAGTATGTATATAAACATACAAGTTTTTTTACACATTTGAGTGCAAAAATATCTCCTACATCGAATGGTGTAAAATTCAGCTAATTATCTTGAAAATCAATCAAGTGATTAGCGATAATTTGCAACAAGTCGAAGAGTGTGGGTGTGGTTGGGGCAGGTACACATATGATGAAAAGAACACACCTGCCCACACACGCATGCACACCCCACACGCTCAAGATGGTGTATTTTGATGATGAGGGTGGATGTGTGGTGAGGGCTGGTTGGAACGCGCGTAAGAGTGGATGTTAGAGACCTGTGGAATCAACTTTTTTGACTCCGAAAAATGTCTTTCCCACGACTCCGATTCCGACTCCGAGAATTTTTATTTTTTAACTGCGACTCCGGCGCCAAGTCCGACTCCAAAAAACTCCGAAATTTTGTTAACAATAATAGCGACTTCTAGGGGCCGGTAAAGCGAACTTTCTTGATCCCTCAACCCGACTCCGTCGGAGCCGGAGTCATAATCGGGTTTCGGAGTACTCCGTAGCTCCCTAGTGGGTATGGGTGACGGCGAGGGCGGGTGTGCGTAGGGATGAGTGGGGGTGAGCGTGTGAATGCGATTAATAAGAAGGCATTTCAACTCACAATTTTTCAAAAGAATAAAATCGAGGAACGCGTGTGACGACGTTTCCTAAACGTGTTTCGACGTGACACGAGATCAAGCAGACTGAGACACTATCTGAGAATGCATCTGAACACATTCGGGCTGCTAAACGCATCTAGGTTTGTATCGCATCTAATTACATCTCACAGTCCCGGACAAAAGTCTTTTCTGCTTCATCTCTGTGTGCTGTCATCCTTTGATCAAGTTTATTGCCGAGTAAAGATATGATATGAGAGTTTTATTTCAATATAATATACAGATCATATTGAAATAAAAGTGTCATGTCGTATCTTTACTGGGCAATAAATTTGACGCAAACTATGATAGCTTAGAAACAAAGAGAACGGAAGACTTCTGTGCAACTAACGTAAGTGAAGTAAGCAGCCGATTCGAGTATTTCCACCGGCGATCCGCCTGTGATGCGTTCCAATGCGTTCCAGACGAGTTCCAAGCACAACTCAATGAGCTCTATTGAATGGTGTGCTTAGATTTTTCGTAGCTCAAAATAGAAGTTTTTCGATTTTGGTGGCGCTATCTGTAGGTCAGAAAATTTTACTTTGAGCTACGAAAAATCTGAGCACACCATTCGATAGAGCTCGTTGAGTTGTGCTTGGAACTTGTCTGGAACGCATCACAGGCGAGTCGCCGGTGGAAATACTCGAATCGGCTGCTTACTTCACATACCTGTGCAACTATGTTGGTTGGTTCGTATTTGTAGGCGTTTCAGATACGAAGCACAAACTACAGACAAATTACTCTTTTTTCATATTCCCTAGATTGAACGGATAGAGTCTATCAAACGGTAAAGAAAGCTTTTGTCTGCCTGTCTGTTCGTAACACTTTTTAAAACCATAGTACATGAGTCTGTCTCTTGATCGAGAGTGAAGGGTTTTATTACATAGGATTGAGAAGAATCTCTCGTCATCAATCTTGAGGGTGGATGTGAGAGGGTTTGAATATCCATGTAGTCTTGAGGATGGGTATGAATGTGGATACTATATAAATATGATACCACACCCTTTAATTGAGAAAATAAGAAATATTATTTTTAATGTAAAGAAGAATTAGTTCAGCATTATATAAAGAAACATTATTAAATGATAAACCTGTCTTATAGAATTGATAATGAAATCATTTTAAATAATATTCTATACTCGGATGATTTAGTCATTTCAAATGTTTAGAATTGATGAAAATATTACGATGAATGAGTTATTCTTACTACAAATTAAATCAATCTATGCTTTTCTTTCTACTTCGTCGTGAAAAAATTAATTGACTTTCAGTTTCATATGTCATCTAAAACATTCTTTCAAGTTACAAATATCCTTTTCCTTATTTTTAAACAGAATTTGAATAATATTATTAATCTCTTCAGGAAACATAGAAATTACTCCAGTGATTAATGAGAATTTTGACAAAATTACATGATGATGGTATAGTTGTTCTGAATATTTATTATAAAATAGAAACCATTGATATTATCCTACTTTAGAAAATGATTAACAATTCAATGCTTCATGACGAGTAAAGATATTTTGGATTATAAATCAAAAGGGATTATCAATTTATATTATTAGACCAAATAATATAGATAAATTGTTATTAAATTTATGTACTCTAATGAAATAATCTAACTGCATGTGTCATATTATAGATAGGTTAATCAGATGTAATACTAAATTAAAAAAAACACCGTAGAAGGCGATCATTTGTGTCGTGTCTGTTATTGGTTTGAATCAACCAAAATTGATAATAGTAATAAAAGAAAATGATTCATAACTTGAATCGATAGTGCTAGGACGTATTTCGATCCTTTGATTCTTCTATATATCTCCTATGTTATCGATTACTTCTTTTATTTACCCTCGATTAACCTCTCTATTCTTGAGGATGTGGGTGTTCTACCCACTCGTTATCAATAGCAACACCGACACCTTCTAGATGGTCGGAATGATCGACCTGGGTATGATCAAAATCAATCTTTTCGTGCTGCAAATAATAAAAAGGTAAATCCAGTCGTCAGTTAATAAATATGGATTAATTTAAAATGAAATTAGAGACGAGGCAAATTCTTAAAAGGGTCACGTCGTACTTATATGATCGTATACAGCATCTGTAGTCGGAAGCAGTAGACGTTTTTTATGTCGTTCATGATGCTGTACACGATTACACGACCTTCATGCGTGATGAAATTCGGGAAAACGGCGATTTGTATTTACTAATAATTATCGCAATTATTATATGTTTCTTTGCTGCCGCATTTATTCATTATGTCAATCGTTGGGAACGATATGTACTACGACAAACAGAAAAAAGTTTAATTATGTGATCAAAAAAA